AAGCTCCAAGTATAAAATTAATAGTTTAGGTTCGGATCGATCTATCGATTGAACTGATCTTGAGTTTAAAGTCAACTAAATCCATTTCGATAATGAACTCAGGTTGAGAAGGATAAAAACCTGTTGCGCCGACACTACCGGAGTAGAGATAAGGAGAAAGATGATGATGAATGAACTCAAATTTTTAAAAAACTACATCGTCCCAGTCATATACAGCCGTAGAACAAATTATTAATATTGAAGTAAAAGGCCAATTAAAAAATTCCGACTACATGTGTCTTTGATGTACAGTATGAATCGAGTGTCATTTTAAAATCAGTTCATTTTTTACAAAAGCAAGTCACAATGTAACGAACTTAATTGTTATTCGCAAACAAGATTCCTCGAGCAATTAACTACGTCGAAACTTATGTTCGCATAATATTTTTCGACATTATATCCTATCCAGCCTTCCTAATGAGACGTTCATACGTTATTAACGTATTGAAATTGCATCAAGATTTTCTACAAGCTTACGTTACCTCCCCCTATTGCTAAGCTAAAGAGGACAAAAGAGGTTTCTGATTTCATACTGAAAGGGGAAATAAACTTCTTTCTAATTTATTTAACTAATTAATTTCGTCATCATCTGCTGTACTCAGACTCGTAGGTACCCTAAGTTAAGCTTTAATCATCCACGCCGGCCCACTGCATGTTGGTTGACACTACACACGTCTTTGAATTTCTTCGCCGATATGTCATGTTGCAACACGATGTCTTACCTCAAGAACATCGGGTAATTTATGTACATATGGAATTCGAAAATCGAAAAACACATTAGTACATGGAGAGATTAGAATCCAGTATTACAAGTCAACTGCTTTAACCAATGAACAACCGACGCTAATTATTTAAAAAAAAATTAGCAAACGATATAAGATATTATTAGTATTCGCTATCTTCGTACGTTACTGTCCGTACACACAAATTACGGTTTTGAATCCACGATGCTCTCCAATTAGATAAATAGCGTGAATCGAGTTCGATATAGTTAGTATGTACGCCTAACAAGATTTTTTTCTAAATAAGCATTAATTATGGCGTTTAGCGATTCGTATGGTATCCGGCCTCCGAAAGGAAAAAATATAAATTTTAACATTAAAATTAGCAATACGTTTTATCTTATTTTCCTCAAAGCTATTACTTTTGCGCATTTGCATTTTTTTACCTATTGGGAAATGTTATTCTATGTATAACAATATGAAGAGGAAAAATTTGTAATTTTGTATATATTGAAAACATTCAAAAATGCTACTCGTTATTTATTATATTATAATTTTCGCGGGCGAAGTCGCGAGCAACAGCTAGTATATAACATGAATCTGTAAGTAAGCTAATAAGAATAAAAATTAATTTTACAATGTCGAAACATTTCTTCTGCGAACACCTTGCGTCCACCATCCCGATCGACTCGTCACAAGCACTTGTTCTAATTCTTATTACGAGTAATTGCAATCCGTGCTTGTCAGTAAATTACTTTGAATTAGTCACAAGGCTCATCATCGAAACGATTATCTTATAACATTGAAATTATTAACAACCACACTTCATACCACCGAATTTGGTCTATGGAACGTACAAAAAGGATATCTAAAAATTAAAACATCTACGGTCACAAGATAATATACCGTAATAAACCCGTGGTGGAGATTCAGAATTGGATATTAACACTAAAGGCTGTTTCAACAACTTTGAATGTGAGTAGTAGTGGTAAATATGATTTTATAGAAATTGTCACATGAAAAATATTTGATAATAAGATTAAAAATATAATAAGTGATCCCATTGTTATTTCCCCATTCCATGTTAGTAGCAAACGCGTTTAATGCATAAAGAGTTCAGGAGCAAAGCTTTTAAGAAGTGTCCTATTTTCAAGATGGCAAATTGAGTTCCCGGTGCGACGCGTATTTATGATACATTATGTATAGCTACGTAGTCTGGTTGAATTCACTTTAAGGATATACGTCCGTTACAATTTGATATGGACATTTTGCATCGCCCAATCGACAAATGATAAAACGCTACTCGTCAATTTAATCACTGTAACGCACACGAGTTTTGGGGTTCCCCTTTTTGTAAAAATAAATATCCTCCTTATATTAATAATGTTCAAAATATATCTTCTTATGTAAAAACCATCTATTATAAAAGTGGACAAAAGGATTAAGTATAGAAGAGATGCGGTTTGTTAAAAAATTGCTTTTTTCTAGTTACCCATTCGAGATATCAGTTTGAATACTTGTTTTTTTTTTGTAAAAAAAAATGTTTTGACTTTGTTTTTTTAGTATAAACACCCATTAATGGTTTAAATACGATATATTAGAAAATGCAATAGTAAATTTCGCATTATTAAATAGCGCAATGTCGGCAAAAATGTTAAACATAGTATTAGGAGTACTAAATATATTATGTGTTTATGCAATAGTCCTCTAGCTGACGCAGAGTTATCATGTGTCAAAGGAATATGTATTTCGATCAATAACCGATAGTTTCTTAGTCAATATACTGCTCTGTGCTATATATGAAGAAGTGCCTTTGAAACATAACTCTTCACAAACGTGTAAAAAGTAACCTCTCTTAAAATATTTTACTCTTTTCAATGTTTGTATTTAAATACCGAAATTCCTAGATACTACTAATAATAAATGTAAATGTTTAAATGCGTGTTTGTTACACGTAACGCAAAAACGGACCACTTTTTAAATCCATACGGATGTAACCGGGAGCAACAACTAGTTCATAAGAGACATTTACAACACCGAATATCAAACAACAATACCTCTGAGTGTGAAAACTCTTAGATAAAATCAATCTTCCATTATTGACTATTATTATAGAAACATAATAGAAAAAGCTCCTACACTCTGAGTGCCATAACAAAGCAAAAACAAAGTGCGAATAAGCCTTTCTTTACGTGATGACATCTTTGTAATAACACAATAGATCGCTAATAAGTCCCATTAGGAAGATATCGTGTTACAATAATATCAAACAAGAGATACATTAAGTACATATTTTTATATGATTCATAGGAGGAATTAGATGTTAGGACCACGGTACACGGACCGGTACATGGAACCATACAATCGATTAAAGTTGCACTTGTTGATTGCTTGTAGGTGTCCGTGTATAGCGGCCTTTAATTCTTCAATATTATGTAATTTAAGATCATCTTTTATCATAATTCTGTATGTAACTACTTTAGGTCGTCGCAATGCCTTCCAAAGTAGACTCTGGAAAGGGCACTATTGTCATGTCAATAAAATCACATACTCCGTTAAAAAATAACTAAAAGTAAAAATAAGTCGCGTGGCATGAAATTTTAACAAGTATTTATTCTAATTATGGTCTACTATTTCGCAAGCTTCACATGTGAATTCAATAACTTCAATGTATACGAAATAAATTTCATCTATCTGCTGAGTTTCGCCATCTCACATCTCTCCAGTGTACGACAATTTAATTAGAATATGGAACTTCACTGTTAACTTGTTACTATATCCAGATGAATTCAAAAGTTCTTTTGAAACCGATAAATCGGTATATGCAAAAGACTTATAATTTCTTTAAGAAGATAGATGAAATAAAGGTCTCTGCGAGTTAATAGAAATTTTAAGTACTGAAATTTTAGGCTTGTATTCTATAAATAATAATTTACACCGCCAATCTATTTACGATAAAAGTTCTACTGCAGTATATACAAGATAAATCTTATAACTACTAAATTATCATTCCCAAGGGAATCTTAATTCAACGGTATAAAAAAATTATGAATAGCAGTCAATCAGAAGCTATATTTCGAAGTAAAAGTCATAAAAACCATAAAGACAGATTGGGAATTTAGTCGGGTAGAAAATGAACGATTTGAATTATCTAATACATAAAAATATGTACTTCAAAAACTCGTTCTACTTTGGTTTACTTAAATAACTGTTTTATAACTATTGAATAAATTAACGCGTAAAATCAAGATCATTACAAAGTAACATTTGTAAGGCATCCTTTATAAATAACAACGACAGATCAAAAATCACATCAGTGTGTTTAAAAAACAGCTTTGTGCTTAGTTGGACGAAAACAAAATTAAAATTCTACTTCAATATTAAAATGTATTACTTAAAATATTTTCTATTGTCTATTGTATCCTGAGCGCATTATTCAGCCAGACAGCAGTCTATTGAGAAAATTGAAATTTAATATTGAACCGTTCTTAATTTTATAATAAAATTTTGTACTTTCTCAATAAGTGGAATGCGAAAAGCTATCGCTACTTTGTGTTTGAAATGCTTTACAAGTATTAAACTATTTGATATTAAAACTTAAAATTACAAAATGTTTAAACATTCTGCGGTACGACGGCAAGATTAATTATTTAAGCAATTAGAATCATTTGAAATTAAAAAATTAATATTAAAATGCCCTTATGGATGATTTAATAGGATAAACGTATGTTAAATTATTTAATTAAATTCCTATTATTTTCCTTAACAATTTTTATTTTAATGTCGTATTTAACTTTTCTCAAAGTAATAATATTCGTTTGCATGTTATAATATGCATGTAACTGCATAAATTGTTTGTTCAAATAATTTCTGCAAACTTTTAGCATTACCGTCAGTTTGTAAATTAAACTTAGTATAAAAACTCTGTTAACTTAAACAGTTGTATGAACTTTGATCGAAGTAAATCTTACTAGACAAGATTTTGTGTATCCAAAAAATCATATAGAAATTACCATCGGCGGTAAAAAAATATTCGCGCCGTGTACAATGCATGGTTAAGTTATAAAATACGTAAAACAACCTCAAACCGGCTCCGGCGACTCCAGGTTTATTATTTTTAGCTAGGTTAGTTCAAATGGTCACTGGTCAAGATTCTACCAAGTTCGGGAGAGGAGAGAATTTCGCGGACGAAGTTTAAAAGTTCTTAAACTTTGTTAAGTGTCGTTTAAGTTGACTTACCTGTATAAGAAGTGTAAGGGCTAAGAGGAGGGCTGTGGAACAGACCCTCATGGTGGCAAGCTACTTCTGGACTGGAATGGTTCTAAGTTTTGTGCGCGTTGCGGCGAGTGCGTAGGCACCGTGCATGCCTCGCAAGCGTCGGACCGCGAATGCCGAATGTTCAGCGCGCTGGGGCCAGCGAGCGAACAGCGAACGCCGAACAGCCACTCCGCGACAACAGTCGCCTCAGCTACGAACCTTACAGCACACTTGCGCTTTAACACACTTCACCGCTGAATTTCCAAATGAAATAAAACTTTTTAGTTACCTCGATCTTAAACATGTATAATTTAATTCAAATATCAATTCATTTAAGTCATAATTTTAATCGTATTTTTTTAGTATTGAAAATAATGTTTTAAATATAATATTAAAGTATAACACGGTTACTATAATTTCACAATGATTACAAAGTGCAAGAGGTTTTAGGTCATATTTGTGTTAGATAAGGCGAGTGATATAATAAAATGTGTTCGATATCGTATGAACTGCATTTTTTCTGAAGTATAATTAGCGATATTGTTAACAACTGAGAGTTCTGATTTTAATTAGTTAAAAGAAATTAATTGCAAAAAACTTTTTAAAGGGCATTGTATGGCGGAGGCGTAAAATTATCTTCTTTTTTCGTATTCAAAAACTGCAACCGAAGGTATAATCTCACCTGTATGCAAAGTGGGCCGAGCGAGATGGATGCAAGGAAAATACTTCTCTCTCCAGTTGACTTGCATGGTGATAAATCAAAACTTGACTACATTGACCTTGAAAGAAACAATATAGAGCTATAAACAGTTGTTAATATTTATTTACCACAAAATAAATTAAATACATTTGTCATTAAATGCTTTACTTATAACATTATTTCTTTTATTTACTAATACGAACTTTTCACTAGTTCGCGTCCAAAAAAAGGTTTAAAACCCTGACTTAAAAGATCTTAATAAACTATAAGAACGACTTCATTAAATTAGGTGTCTTTCGATTCACATCGATCCGATGTGTCAAATAGTCTCATAGATGGTGCCATTGTCATAGTGAAATGAGTAAGTATATTGACTTAAGGTACACTTAAGTATAACGTTTGTTTTAGATGTAGAACAGTGTTCTGCACTAGACTAACTTTAACATTATCAAATTCTATCAGAATAACTTGAAAAGGAAGCTTCTCGGAGGGGAATTAATGGTATTAGGAAACCCAATTAGTGATTTAATGGGCGACATATTTATAAATATGACGTACAATGTCTCTATAATTCAATTGAGAATGGTATTGTTTGACTGTTGGCATTATTATAAAGTGCTTCTTCAGAAAACTAGTTTTTAAAGAAGTAGCAAGTAAACATACATGTAATTGACGTTAAGTAAGTAACGCTAATCATTAACATCTACAAAAAAGAGAAAAGTTTGTATCCGAAATGTGTAAGGTATGTTTATAGCCGTTAGGTTGAAAAATAAGGCCAAATATAGGGACCAGGGAGCTTATCACAAATATTCGTGAGGACGTTTTCGTAACGTCATCGACAAAATTTGTAATAGATTTATGAAGCGCCCCTACCGAGCGTTAAGTACACTAACAATTTTCAAACAAATTTCGTCGATAAAATTTCGAAAACGTTCTCGAAACTTACACGTACATGTCTTCGTAATATACCCCAAGTTTATTAGAAGGGACGAAATAAATGGTTAAAATGTAAAAATTTATGTTAATTCTGTAGATGAAAGACTGTTAGACTATATTTCTAGTGTATAGGTGTAGGTAGACCGTAATGCCATCGGAGATAGTCTATGCTTAGATCGAAAATTAAATATTTAATTGTTTTAAACTCGGTGCAATGTATCTTTTTATTTTTATCTATCAATCTGCTTCAAGCTGTTTAGTTTAACTTTAATTTGCTTCGCGAATAGAATTGACTGCTTTAAATTAAACTATTGATATCTCATTATCACTGCTAATAGTACTAGTATATCTAAGCCTTGGAGCATATCTTCAACAAAATCTTATAAGGATGACGATGGTGATTAAAAAAATGTATCCTGAATACGCACTATGAAGTCCAAAACAGGAATCTCCTTAATAGACTATGTCAAATAGAATACTATTAGGAGTAATCTAATCAGGCAGGAGACTCCCAGCAGGAATTCAGTAATCTAATATTGCTGGAATCCCAACAGGAATACTGTAAGCTAGATTCTTATCAGCTAAAAGCAGACACCTAACAGATTTCTGAGAAATCCCCTTATTGAAATATAACTCGTACGAAGTTTGTGGTTAAAATTGTTTACACATCACGTGGGTAGTTTATGTCACACTAATTGAACACGGCGAGCTTTCCAATAAGAGGATGAGTCGAAATTCATTTTTCCTCAAATTTAGAACTGTTTAGAAAGAAATAGAAAGGAAACTTGTTAAATATTCTAAGCGATTGGGGAAAAGTTTATATGTATTCTTACATTCAATTCATCTGAATTTCTGACTTATGATCTAGTGTTAATTTAGATACAATCTATTGAACGGCATCTTACAATGTAAAAGGAACAGTTCTAAAGCAGCAGACTTGCTTCTAAGTACACAATGAAAAGTTGTTGAGGATACTCTTTCCATTTAATTAATTATCTTCTTTGTCTGTGGCGTTTATATTCTTTGTTCTATCGGTTTTCATCAAGCTTGCCCTGTACGCAATATTTATAGAGATAAAGTAGAGACTTTCATAAGTTAGTCATTAACAGTTGACAATAGGCATACGTATGTGACGCCAAATTGGACCAAACTTTTTTCAAGTATTTTTTATTGCTATAAAAAGATTTTTTAATATAATGCGATTTTGTGGCTAAATTTAATGATTAAAAGGTTTCGTTTTTAAAATTCCCTCGCTAAGTTCTAAAACGCAACGCTATTGGATGAAACAACTGACTTATCTATTATGGCGTCGCTGTGTTGTCAATACTCTTGAAGTGTTTTACTGTAAACTCGATATTAAAACTAACTTTAAAATAAAAAACAAATTCAAAGAATCATTAAATCCCACTTATTAGTATCAGGAATAATGAAAATGAATCTATTTTTGACTTTTGATAACTCTGGAACCAATGAGATATTTTGTAGTTTTTTACATGGAAGTGGCATCTGAACGAATGTGATGAATGGAATGTGACGATTGACGTCACGTGTTTCAAGCAAACTCTGGTCGCCTTTTAGTCGCATGGAAATTATCGTAATTTTATATATTGCTATTAGCTGAATGGTTCAATTTTTTCGTGTCAATATTTTTACTGATTATCTTATAACAAGTAGAATCGTTTAAAAAATTATGCATATTCCCATTTGAAAACACCCACGAATCAGTAATCCGAAAAATTTAGAATGGTCTATTGGGAGCTATCTTAAAGATTTGTTTATCGTTTTTAGTGATTTGACTTTTTCTACTATTCAGTTATCACAAGTTTTGTATTTCCAAGACAGTCAGCACTAAACCTACAGAATGAAAAATGAGATGATAATAAACATCAGGTCAATATAATTTGATACGTAGAAGTCGATGTAATATACTGATTGTGATAAATCGTTAAAAGTTAACTGCACTATTCCTTGTTCATTTTTATTGGACGCTCTAATGCCATATTGAATTTTACTTAGAAAATAATTTCCCATTACGTTGATACGTTCATCGGATTTTGTACACGCAGTAGACAATTCCATCTTTGTGAATTCTCTTTCTATTTTACGTTCATTAAACTTTTTAAATGTGTGACAAAGATAACATGATTTTAATCATCTACCTATTTGCAACTTCATCTTGCAACATAGTGTCTGTTGTGGTACTGCAGGTCCGAACTGAACAAGCATCAACGTCAGCCTACTATGTGGAGTTCTTTGACCTTTTTGCGTTTATCAACGCGAACTGCTCTAAAACTAAATGTATAAACAGGATAAACTGTGGTATTTAAGATTGATCCTTATCAAAACGCAATAAGGTCGTTGGGTTAGAAGAAGCGATTGATAAAATGTATTTAATTTCGCGCTTTCAATTTCATAAGTGTAACGTAACGCGAAACTCAAAACCTACAAGTTTGTTGCAACTAGTGTAGAGAACTGAATCCACGATCAATCTTATTTGATGGACTAATACGTTTTTATGAGTTTTTTTTGCGAAAACATTTAGCTTATAATTACTAGCTTTCGCCTGCGACTCCGTCATCATATAACTAAAATAAAATAAAAGTAGCCTATATGTTCTTTCATACTAGCCTTAACATCTGTGCCAAATTTCATAGAGATCCGTTGAGCCGTTTAGGTTAATAACTCTATCAAACATTTATCCATCCATCTAAACTGTCGCATTTATAAGTGATATAATAAGGTTAGGCAACGCATCTGCAACTGCGGATGTATATGGGCAGCGGTCGCTTCGCCATTTTGGCGGATTCAGGTGGCCGCTTGCTCGTTTGCCACCTTATGTTATAAAAAAAAAAGTTTCATCTAAGGTTTAATTGGCGACAGAGTTTTGTTCGGTGTCTTTTCTACGCTTATACCGCTTTTATAAATGTGAACGTTCTTAGCTTTATGAAGTTTTAAAATTATTTTTTACGCCAACAGGTCGTTTCAAGATAACTTTTAAACTCTTAACCTCACAGGTCACAATCCGACTGTGCTAATTTATTTTTGTTACAGAATAACGGCTAAATACCAAAACGATATTTAAATTAGTAGAGTCTTAAATGATAAGGCCACACGTAAACTGCTGTTTGTATGATAGGTGGCGCTTAAAAAGCAAAGAGTTTAAGATTTGTTTCAGTATGCCATTATTGTTATACTTTCAAGACTTCATAAGTCTTATGTTCCTTCAAGTAGCCAAGGAAACAATGTAAACATCTATAATCGACAAAGAGTAATGTTAATTTTTCACAACAATAAGACATTGCAGTACTGCTTTTTAATTAGTACGTTGTTCTACTGATCTGCCTCATTGCTCTACCTGCCAATAAAACTAATATTAGGTGATCTAAAACACAGAATGTTTTATTTTAATAATTCATATACAGTTGCAGCTTAAGAAAATCGGGCAAATGAATCATCAGTTAAATTTAAACTCTTATTTCAAACACTATTTTATAGCCAATTACCATTATTTACTAAACAGAAGCGGCTATTTCCAATCGCAATAGGAAACAATGCCGTTTCTAAGCTAAAATTACGACAGTTATAATCATCTGTAATGATAAAAAGAGGAAAGAATTATATTTATGTACGTTTTGAAATAACTCAGCTACTGAGGCGACTTCAAAAATCCTTTATCATTAAAAAGCTACGTTATCGCTGAGTAACATTGGTTTTATTTATTGAATTTCACGACGAAGTCGCGAACAACGGCTGGTTTAAAATAAAATATAATACTAACATAATAAAAGTAGTTGACTGTACACCATTATAACTTTCACTGGAAAATTGCGAGTGGCACCTTCATCATCTTCCTCCTTATTGCGTCGGCGCAACAGGTTTTTGTCCTCCGTCATCACTCCCTTTTCGATGAACTTTTTGCAACCCGTCCATCTCTTTCTAGGTCTACCTCTATCGATGTTGAGGTAGACCTAGAAAGCTAGTTTTAACATTAACTAGAAACTTGAAATGTATTTTTCATAAGGGAAACAGCGTTGAAATTATATTTTTATAATAATAACTGTTTTTCCAGCTACAATTTATTATACAGTAGAAATTATTTATGATTAAATCTTAATAGATATTAAAAGGAGTATATATATATAACATGCAGATACTCGTATATACATCACAATAAATCACATGACCCATATTTTTAATGCAATAAAGCGTGTCTTTATCACCGTAGATTTCCACTGCCGCGATGCTGGCATAACGTTCTCTCTGTTTTGTTTAATATGATGAATGGATACAAGTGTCATTATTTAAATAAACTATAATGTTCTGCAGTTCTTTTTACTGTTTTATACGTACTCGCTTTTGAATGCAATTTCGTCCGCGAAAATTAACGAATAACTTAATACGTAGCCTATGTGTTCTTTCAGATTGTTTTCATCTGTGCCAAAACAAAAAAGAAATAAATCGAATCTTAAAAGGTACAAACTATTGTAAAAATAAAACCAACAAAAACATCACTGTATAATATATTTCTCAAATATTTTATTTCATTTTATAAAACAACACAAAAATATCAAAATCCAGTCCCTCATACATATTTTCCAAGTAAAATTCCAAACTTGTATTGTATTTTGTGGATGTAGACTTCGCCAGGGTTCAGTACAGAGTTTGGGAAATTTTTCTGAAAATAAAGTAAATTAATTTAAATATACTAAACAAATCAAGTAAAACGGTGTTATAGTAGTTACCGGATATCTTGGCGTCTCGGAATATCGTACGAGTCGCTGCGGAACTTAAGTAACACTGTAACGGGAAGGGACAGCATTTCGTGCAGGTTTCCATAAGCCGCCAAGATATTTGAATAGTATTATACTAACAATTTTCTCTCCTTCGTTACATTTTCAATTTAAGTATTTAATGTATATACATACTGTCTAATATCAGGACTATACCAATGTATAGCAAATTATGTTTTCGGTTTTTGGCTAAAAAAAAAAAACATACAGACGAACTACCTACATACTAAACATTCATACGACTGACTTCCCAAAAGGAAGTCAGTCAATAAAATTGCCTCGCGACAATCATGCCCATAAAGATGCTACGAATCTTTGAATTTTCAAAAACACGCTATTGTTACTTTGACCGACCTTTTGTAAGCCAAATATATTTAAAAGTTATTTTCTATTCATCATTATTTGTGCTTATAACTGCATTTGAACCCTTTCTCTTTGGAATAAAGCCCGCTACATACGCTCAGTTTTTATCTAAACAGTCTGGTCTTACAGATAAATCTAACACTTTCGAATAAAACTGAACGTGTGTAGCGGGCTTTATGTCCACTGTATATAATTACTACATTTATTTATTTATGTATTTAAACTCACATGATTGATCGCATCTGGATAATTTTGTGGCAGTAAACAGAAAAGTCCATGTTTTTTGTAAAACGTCCCTCCTTTCCCGGCCAACGGGACATAACCGTAATGCTCTTTGCCCTGGGGAAATACAACATTACATGTTACTAATTAAAAATATTGTAAAGCTATAGATTGAATATGGTAGCTTTTTATATTTTAAATAACAACGAGCAAGCCTCGTTTCGCCTTAGCTGAAATGACCTCGCTCTATAGACATCTGCATTTCAAGTTGCGTTACCAATCTTTATTCGATGAAACATATCCCTCACCCCGATTTCTTTCCCTTCCTTCTCAGCATAGGAAAAGGATTATTTGGCAGATTCATATTTTCAAACAACACTTTACTTTCTTCGTCTCCTAAAAACTACCGTGAATTCTTCACTCATACATCGTATTGTTATACTAATACCAAGAATTAAGCAAACAAAAGGATACCAGTTTATACAATCAGAATATCAGGGTTTATCAGGAATATATGAGCAACAGTTGCGAGACCGTAATTGCAACATCAAGAACAGCAACAATTTCCATATAAATTTTCTCATATACATCGTTAACTAGTGCTTTCTACTATTCAATGTTCACCTCTCGTCCATCCGCAATATCCTGGGCGGTAGTTCTTTCCTCCTCGTCCTCAGCACTCGCCTCGCTCTCGCTCTGCTCCGCTCCTTCTTCCTCTCCTCCAGACAAAGCCTTTTAAAAATACAACGCAATCATTACAACTTACAAATCTGTTATTAAAAATTATCAGGCACTTTCCACATTTATTCAATACCAAATATTCACAATGCTAATGTAAATAGTAATTTAAAAAGGATAATTATTGAAAAAGCGAAAATAAGTAAATTAAAATTAATTGATCTTCAGTGAACTCTTGAAGTAAGCCATACTTAAAACCTGTATAGACCTGATTTTCGTTCATTTTCCTTTCCACCCTTTTCTTGAGAGGAAAAGATGGAAAGGAAAAGTTGGTTTAACGTCGACGAAGACGCATAGGAAGGGGAAATATCCTGTTTATGTGTGTCTCCTCTTCCGTCGATTAAGGGTAGGCAACACATCTGCAATTGTGGATGTCTTTGGGCAACGGTCGCTTCGCCATTTCGGCGGATTGAGATGGCCGCTTGCTCATCTGCCACCTTATAATAAATAATACTAGGTCGCTAATGGCATGACTGATATTTCTATGAGCAATGTTTACATTCATACTGGCACGACCGCTGTCAGAATAGTAACAACCGTCTGCCAGGCTTGTTGCATAGTGGAAAAAGGGACTTATGTACGTACCGCAACTATTCTGTCCGGATCCGGTAGTCGGTTCCCCGTGTAGAACTGCAGACCTGGCTGGTTGCTGTACACTTCTAGCACACGCCCAGTGTCCGGATGAAGAGCTCTGAAATCACACTAATATTATAAATGTGAAAGTTTAGATGGATGGATGGGCGGATGGATCTTTGTTAGAGTTTGTAGCCTAAATGGCTGAACGGATTTTTATGAAATTTGGTACAAATGTAGAGGATATTCTTTTGTTTTTTTTTATTCCACGCGGACAGAGTCGCGGACGAAAACTAGTATTACATATGCCTCTTAACTCATTTAAGTTGTCGAAATTATTTAAATATTAAATGTCAAAGTGAAAGACAAAGGTTATTAAAATGGCGTTTATTCTGGACACAAACTTTCTGCAGATATATGAGAATATAATTAAACCACTGCATTTTTATCTGTATTAATAAAATAAAAATATGTCTCAATAATTACTAACCTGGCGTGGAAGGTCAAATCCTGTGCAGTGGCCTGAGTAATGCAGAAGTTGACATCGTACCCTCCTTTGGGTATTTTCGGCAACATTGCCTTCAAGCAGCGCGGAACTCGGAAGTCAAATGCCGTACCACCGACAACCTTTTTCTCTCCTGAAAACGAAATACAAATATCTTCAATTCATTTCACTGATATTATAAATGCGAAAGTTTGGATGGCTGAAAGGATTTCCGTGAAATTTGTATTAATATAGAGCATATTATATTCGTATACATTTTCTACATCTTAAAATGCTTGTTTGTCAGTTCTTTGTACTCCTTATGTGGTTTTTATATTGTCATTAATATTTGCAATATATTAGTTTTTTAAACTCACCAGTAACCAATCCTTCGTCGTCGACTTGCGTGTATTTATCAGCATTAACAGTGATTATGTGATCGTACATCGACTCCGCGCCTCGATGCTGTAACATAACATATATAAAAAATTTAATACGTATTCGTTAACAATGAATTAATTAATAATAAAGGGAAATTAAATTTTGGCAACGCTGCAGCTTTTACTCCCGGCATTCCAATAATTAGCCCACGGTCAATCGGCCACTAAGGGAGACCTTTAAGGTATATTAAGTGTATAAAATCTACAATACGTATGTTTACATGACCTTTAAAGGTCTCTCAGTCCATCAGTTTATTTTCAGCGTTGACTAATGGTTCACTAAAACTATTCATAAACTTACATGTCCGGCTAGATTGAAGTACGGTGCGTTACTAAGGTTAATGATTGTCGGTTCCGTTGTCGTGCACTTCATTTCAATGTTGATTGTGTTGTCGCAGGTGACTTCGAAGCAGAGCTGCGTCATCACAGTGCCCGGGTAACCCTCGTGAAACCGATCAGATACGTGGCTCATGTAAACTTTGTTGCCCACAACGTGTGACCGCCAGTTCACCTAGAATTCAATAAAGAACTTTGAGAAATGGAATAGTTAATGTACAGATTGTTGTATAGCTCGACTTTTAATTAAAGAAATCATTTTGACTTATTCATACTCTTGGATATAATGTGTTTGAAATATTAAGGCCTTGTCAAATTTTATTCAACTATCAATATACTTTTAAAAGAAGCAAACAACTCAAGTTATGGTAATCTATTAACTAAGGGAAATCAATTAATCCGCCCTGTGTCATTAACATGATTAAAACATAGAGAAAAGGAATATTGGTTTTGCATAATACCTACACATCCAACTATACGTTGAATTAGAACAATTAGCGGACACTATTTTTATAATAGATGTCTTTTACGTTTTGGCAAAGCAGCGCCTTTCACTGTGACGACGTCTTTGTCGAAATCGTCTCGAAAGTCGTTGTGTCACAGAGTAGTAGTCGGTGGAACCATTCCGTGGGAACAATGATTCTTACACTTACGTAATAAGGGAGCTGAGTAAATTTAACTGAACTATGATCAACTACCTTGGTGCATCTGGGGGTGAATGTGTTCTAATTAAACGATCACAGCGACAGACTCGTCTTGACTGACACCTTTACTATTAGGAGAAAAACACGAACATAGTGCGACATATGGCAAGCGATGAAGTAGTATCAACGCGTAGTCTCAACTTTGATAAGCCTTCCAAGTGACGTTGCCATCCTGTATCTTAATTTACACAAAAAATCGTGCCATCTGTTTCATCGGTTTCGGAGCATGCCGACAGATGTGAAATAATAACATAATTATTATATTGAGATCAAATACCAATAACCTACTGGATATGTTGGTAGATAAATACAACCATATTTTCATCATCATCATCTCCCCTGCCTTATCCTACTCCCGTAGGGTCGGCGCACCGGGTTTTCGTCCTCCAAAGCATTCTATCATCCGTCATCTCAGTCATCACTCCCTTCTTGATCATGTCACCTTTCACGCAATCCATCCATCTCTTTCTAGGTCTACCTAGAAAGAGATGGATGGATTTTAGCTATCGTTAAACTTTTACTATACTATACCGATCAGAAAAGGTTACACTTAAAATAATTATTTCACGTAAAGAATTGCATAAAATGTAACATAATGGTAAAAAAAGGGAATGACAAATGGAAGATCAATTACGAATTTTGTTTTTGTCAATACCACTTCGTGTATGATCAGGTCAGGGGAATTTTGAAAGGACAAATTAAATAATAGTGGTCAGTGACTGTCAGCTTACCTTATCAAATCCTACATAACCGCCATTGCAGTGATTGGGCCCCAAATTAGAGGACAACATGTACATCCTTCCCATTGGCCGGACAGACATCGTGGCGTTGCGGATAATGTTTGCGTATCGTCCGATAGTAGCACCGAAATACGGGTTGCGAGGTTGAAAGTATTCTGTTTACAATAAACGTACTAGTAATAAACAAGAGTATTGCAAAGTTATGTTCATAGTCAGTATCGTTCGTAATATTAAAAAAGCAGTTGCACATAAAATAGTAAGCAATAAGTAAACACGTGGGACAGAAGACTACTCTTGTTTCCGACGCGTCATATCTGTTGCCGGGCACTTTATGGGCGGGAATACCAAAAGCCAGTAGCTGGCATAATTACACACATGCCAGCAAGAACATTTTCTGACAGGCACGTCTCGTTTCGTATTGTGTCGGAACTAGAGGGCAAGCTACTACTCCATTTTACTGGCATGTGTATCCCCGCCCTATTTCCGTTTGGCATAAACAGAAGAGAATTCCTACGGACAGTACTACGCAATATTGAATAGGATTATTTTAAGTGAATTTTTTGCATTTTATGCCTCAGAATCTAAGGATGCGTTCAGATTTATATACCTTCAAGAGTCTCAAAACCAGCGATGACGTCATCTGGGACACCTTTCTTGTCTGGTACTTGTATAGTCGTAATTGTCGCACCATAAGTGATCACCTGTGAGTGATCAATATAAACTTACGTTACTCGTCGTTAGATATAGCAGCTATATGAGAATAACTGTTTAAATCTACACTGTTAAACGGATTGACGTAAGCCCCGAGTACTAACAATCACATTCAACCATCTTGATTTAGCATGAATTTAACAACATTCAATCGATGTAAACCAAATGCAAAATATCTCAATCAAATTCTAAATCTATGCTATAGGAAAGACTTAGTTTTTCTTTTAATTTCTTAAACATACAAATATCCAGACCTGGACTATCATCCTGTTTTTCGTTTTCCAAGTGAACCTCCTAACAACGTCTATATTACTACTTGATGCACAAGGACTAGTTACAGCTTCCGGGGTCATGATCTCTTTTAATTCTTTCGATTTCTTGCGACCATTTTTTTTAGTTTGATCTATGGGCACCTGTTTAGGCATGAAACCGAAGCCATCAACGGTTAGTTCTACATCGGGAACCTTGACGGGTTCCGGTTCAGGAATAACTGATTTGTGCTCTGAAGCCTCTGATACGACATCACCGCTGGCTTTATCGTCTACTTCTTCCGTCATTATAATTTAGAATTTAGATGTGTTTATTACTTAATTTAATTGTTTTTTCAATATTTTTTACATTTATTTATTTATACAAAAAATTATGAAGGAACTGACATTAAAAAATGATTGAAAATAGGCTTCGTTTTTTAATTTATTTATGTCATCTGTCGCGAAAACAGTAAAGAAACAAGGTTATATGAAATTAACAACTTTGAAATTATTTTTTTTATTAATGATTAAGAAAACCAAAGTTATTATATGAATACAATCTAATAGCCGCATCAGGTAACAGAATTAAAAACATTTACAAGGCTATCTGTATCTCAAACGTATTCAAGTAATATAAATGAAATGTGTAAATCATTTTAACACTAAAATAATTTCATTCGAACACAATTAAGATTCATTTTAATACATACTTATAAATAAATACAAATTTATAAAACGAAATCATATTTGAACTGCATCGAGTACGCGAACAGTCGGTGGTCAATATTTGTACACTGCGACTAAAAGGTCAAACCCAAAATACTTTCATGCTTTGTTTATTCAATTCGATAGTATCCGCTTTCCATTTTTTCTTTTCTTCTATAATATTAGGTATCTCTTGCAAATAATCAACTTCCTTGCAAGGCGAAGGAGGTATAATGCTAATGAGTGGTATTCCTATTTCTTGAAACGAACTCATCGAAGAAAAGCCACTTTCATCCTCGATAAAGTTCGATACACCATTGTAGTCATTTAATTTACCAATAACTTGAGTTTGTTTTCCGTTGAGTGATTCTGTTCCACTTTTATTATCGGCTTGTTCATTTTCAAGTGTCTTTATCTCCGGTAATTCTTCGCCCAAGTCACTTGAAGTAGTCGAAGTGGATTCAACGTGTTTAAGAGAATTCGTCCCATTAGTTGTAGTTATTTTGTTCGTAATGCAACTGTGGGATTTCGTGTCCTCAGTCTTTACATTACGACCCTCTTCTAATATAAAATTCATGGCAATATTCGATAGGTTTAGTGATGCAGGTCTCTCTATTTTATTTTCTATAAATTTGAGATCAATCTCAGAGTTTTTGTCGACGCAAGCACAAGCGAGATCAGGCAGTTTTGTGCTTAGCACCGTGTTGGCAAGAGTAATCAGTCTCGACATTTCTTCGCTAATTTTTTGCGATGATTCATGTTCGGGCACAAGATATAATTTCGACTGGCTCCTGAAAGTCAAAACGAACATGACTTTAGTGGCGAAATAAATTTTACCATGTGTTTTTTTTTAAATATAGTAACATTTAAATTATCAAAATATCGAAGAAAAGATTATACACGTTCTGCTTAGTAAATTTTGTGATGAAACACATATTTTCGTTTTAAAAGGATAAAGATATAGTAGTATTACTAAGGTATATCTATTTAATAAAGTTATGTAATTGAGTTAACATTTACCAAAGTCCATTGCAATCTTTGTAACCATTGACGTTACTGATAGATTTGCTAATTTTCCTTGTACTTATCTTCTTGGCGGGAGTTATGGCATATTCTACATTTTTGTTAACATGCCACACAGAATGTGCGCGCGGGAAATCATTGAAGTTGAGAGACCTGGCGATCATTCGGGGTGAAACATTCTTTCTTAGTAAATCTTCGTTTTTCTCGCCGTCAAAATGCTCCTTCATTCTGTTCAGGAAAGTTACTATTTGCTTAAGTAATGCTATGTGCATCTGTCTGTTCGCCTCAGTCTGAAAATAATTACGCTCACATTGGCAAATTATAAACCGAGCAATAATATAAATACTATGTCTGCACAGCTGATATCACATTCGCGAGACACAACCGCTCAGCAATTTCGCAATGTTTATAAATAAAGACAAGCTTTGGTGCATCAAATTCGCGTTCTGTTAGAAAACATGATTAATTTACCTGTGCTAATTGCCATCTCAGTGTTTCGACCTCCATATTAAGAACATTTATTTCTGTTTTTCGTATGTTCTCGTTAGTATTGTTGTGCTTGTCTGGCGGTTTCACGGGCTCCTCGGTCTGCTCCGTGCGTGCGTTCTTCGAAAGTTGAGTGCAAATCTCAATTCTTTCTGGAACCTGTAACAATATTAAAGAGATGTTTGAAACCGTGTCATAGAACAGTAATGTATCATTATGAATTCAAAGGAAAAGGTGTTGAATATCGCGTGTAGTAATTTCACTTTACAATGTTGAATCTGCAATTTGGACTGACTAATCATGGGAAGTAGTAATGATTTGGAAAGTAGAAAGAAACATTAAAGCAATACAAAAATAATAATATATTTAGAACGCATTTCAGTACACGCACTTGTGTTTAGTGTGAAGACAATGCCGTATGCGCTCATTTTGTTTGGTATTTTACATTCTAAATAACTATTCTAACAAACAGGTCTTACTCTCATTTGTGCTTGTGAGAAACAAAACTGCCGTATGCGGTGTGTAATTTATCTTACATAACAGTACCTTCAGTGCATAAAAACAAATCTCAACAGAATTCTCGTTAGCGACTCTTTTGTATGTGCGTTTGCAAAAAAACTCGCGCACAAACACGTATTAGATCGGCGACGTCAGACTCATCCCACGCTTTTGCTAAGACGTAGCTTATTGACCTCTATGCGAACAATGAAAAATGTTCCTAGCACCCGTTAACTTGATCTGACAGACGGCTAAACTGGAATGCATTTAACTATTGAATGAACATAGATTTAAATTTTTTACCGGTTTGTCTCTCGAATTTGTGTTCAAATTTTTTAAACGCTATCTTGCGGATTTGCTTTTTTGTTGGTACCGTTTCCATTTAAGAATTTTAGGAAAGTGATGGCGAAACTGTTTTGTTAAAAGGCTTTCACAAATTGTGAGACAAAAACTAATTAAGAGTAGTGAAGTCAAATCTAAAATGTGATCCAGGGTTCGAGTTTAGACGGAATTCATGACCTGCTCGTTTGAAGATAGATGACTTTAACTGGTGACATGTTAAGTTATCGGCGTTAGTACATCGTCCAAGATATGACATAATATATCTTCACTTCTATTTTCAGATAATATTACGTTGAAGTCTTAATTATGTGAGTTTATACCTAGATTCATTGGACTAAAGATTACCGGGTGACGTCGAGGTTATGAAAATCACCAGATCTTGAAATCTTGATCGAAACACATTTATGTTATAAAGTTACCACCGTTACTTATTTTTATTAATACAGTTAATCAATGTTAATGAAAGAGATTTTACAATTACTTTTAACATTGTCCACTAACAGAGCTGTACGTTCATTTGCGATTTACATTATAATGCCATTATTAAAACCGTATACTCGTAGTAAAAAATATTAGGAGTGAATAATACCTATAACAAAACACGAAATAACTGCGACTACACATTCAGCGGCAGACCGTCAGCTAATGCTAGTTTTACATGAGGGCAGAACTGGGAGACAGTGCAGTAGTGCCTACTGCTATTGTTTGCAAGGATGAGACAGAAAAGAACCAGTTAACAATGTAGTATTCCATTAACGGCATAGTAGAATGGTCAAAATGTTGTATAGTAATTCATTTTAGATGCACGTCACATGTTGGAAGTTATCAGCTTCATTTAATTCGTTTTTTTATTCATACGAATGTTACTTTGTCTATGCTGGCCTGTACCTGTACTGTAATATTTCACTGTTCAGCCCTGGTGTGAAACTAACATAACGGCCACGTCGGTGTACTGGTAATCTGAATTACTCTCGAATTAGGTCACTATACGCGTATTCATAACAAATTACGGTGAATTTCAATGAGCGAATGAGAAGTTATTGTTGATTTATCTCAAACAAATGCCAAGGAATTTGATCAAAATATAATAAGTACCAATAGTTTCAGTAATTGAAAGTTTATTAATTGTTTTTAACAATAAAATAATTTAGGAATAGAATTAAATTAGGAGTTCTCTTCCTGATTTGATTTAACTTTTGAGATTTCGTACATTTTGGAGTGAACAAATAGAGAGAAACATGACCTTAGTCTGAATTACACTCTAATAGAAATAAATATCAAAGTATAAATTACAAAGTTGTGTAGAGAAATGTAATCTGATCTGTTGACCCCATTTCCTTCAGTGGACGGCATTTGTTACAGTGTCGTGTGTCACAGGTGCAGAGTTTCCATCGGCTCGTGTGTCACGGGCAGTGGATCGGAACCCTTTGCCAAGGCCAATGGAACAGTCTACATTAACACTTCAAATACCTCTCAACTAACGAGTCGATTCCATGTAATGGATGGCCTACCGAAATGTTTGGTTATGATAGGTTCAGATTTTCTAACATTTTCTTACTTGTCTGGGTTCTGTGTCATTATAAATTACCTATTTCTGTTGAATAAGAAAACCTTCTACAGCGTTTAGTTTCTTTTCTTTACGAAGTTTGTTGTTTAGGACTCTTCGAAACTAAACAGAGTTAGAACAACGACGCCATATTTCATGGTTTTATAGGTTCCCATTAAGTCATCTTCAACAACTAAAGATCTTTTACAAAGAGCAACTTGTAAATCCAGCACTACAGCGTTAATGTTGTTCTTATATGGGTCAATGGCAAGTAGAAACCATTGTGGCAATGCACACGTCGATAACGTATCATTTTCACTGAGGTTACGCAACTGTGATTCACTGTAACGCGTTAAGCGGATTTCGGACTAACGATTGTCTTTAGTGTGACTTATTAATGATATAATTAATTTTAATAGTTTGCTAATTCTGGAACATTTTGTCACGTGACTGCAATTATACGAATAAATGGAACACCAAATAATAGGGATAAATATATTAGAGCACCGGTTAAAAATCAAATCAAATAATGTAAAGGGAGAATCCCAACTTTAAGAGCTAACGCTGTCGCTTAAGCGATAACCCAAGATTTCTTGGCTTAGTATGGTGAATTAACTTAACTGAAATATTAAAAAATAAAAAAAAATTGTGTATTTACATTACTACGAACTTTTTAAATATGTATACATCGTGTGTTATGAGCCTAACAGTGGCTGTGAGGCAAGCTGGTCTCGGTCCGGCGACGACGCGTGACGCCGCATCCGGCCGGCCCTCGGAAGCTT